CTGTGAAGAACTGAATTATCCAGTTATTGCATGATGTTTTACCCGGTTTTTTCTTCAGGAACATGATGCAAAAGGTGATGATTCGAAACATGTTCACACTAAATTTGAGCCTCATTTATTATTTGGCGAGTTGGCAGCAGAACAAAACTTTTCATTTTTCAGCCATGATTTCTACTAAAATAACTTTTTGTTTGTGTATAGAGCTTTTTGTATTGGGAAGCTTGATTACATCATGTTCTCGAAGAAAAGTCCGAGTAAAACATGGTGTAACTAGGACTGAGAAAAGGATCCCATACAACTGCTTCTCGCTCGTGCGTTTACTTATGCGCCGCCAATTCAGGCGTTTTAATGAATCAGAATTTAAAGAAAATTAACTAATGAATCATTATCTTTCGTTGTTGGCGCCGTTCCCACAAGTACTCGCGCGTTTTTTGAAAGCGCGTCGGAAAAGCGCTCTTTTAGACTTATTCCACGCGCTGGAGCATGCTGACTTCAATTTTAATATTTGCAGCTCAAGAAATAATCTAATTTCGCTAAATTTTGCTATATAAGATACGCTAGGTATTACGGCGTGTAACCATTGGTGCTTGATGGCGCCAATGAGAGCATTGCTATGGACCATACGAATGAATTTTACTAAAACAGTCGGTAAATTTCAAACAAAAAAGGTATCCGCCAAACTTTCGCGAACGCTGTTTCATATTATTTGTAGTGTAAAAATATATATAATATCTAATAAAACTGTGCGTTTCAAGTGCGACTTTTTTTCATATGCGAAACTATCAAATATATGGAAAAGATTGACAAGTACTAGATTAATTTTTTTGAAACCTCTACTGCGCTTCTGTTCGAGAATGAGTGGAAAATATTTCAGAGAAGATCTGGTTTTCACTCTGAATGTCGTATCTTTCAAGAAAACATTTTTTTCCTATAATCTGATAAATAATATGCACTTTTAAGAACAGATTTTTTTCCCCCATTAAATAATCTGAAAATATTATATACCAATCGATTCATCGTTGGTACCCCGATCTTGTATAGATATAGCAGTCTTTCGTCTGAGTATAATCACGACAAAAAGGCTGATGTAAAAACCGAGTTTTTACACAAAAGATGGACACAAACACTCGTGGCTTATCTCGTCGAGATCTATCACATGGTATGCACAGTGGGCATCCATGCGGACATTTGGCAAAAAACGAAAGTACGCCTTTTCGAAATTCAAATAGTGTCGAAGTTACTGAGATAGATGGTCTATTTAAAAGCGCAAAAAAATTTTGTTCCAAGTAGCGAACTTTCGGAGATAATGCATACGGCAAAAATAGACCGTATATCAGAGATATCTAAGCAAAAATCGATTTTTCATGAAACTATGTTAATTTAAATAATTGAAATAGATGTATTCGGAATCAGGACATTCTTAGCTATACGTCGGTAAAAAGCTATTTCGATTTGTGTCTAAAAGTGAATAGGAAAAAAAGAATTTCACCGATGACCACATGCAGGGAACAGGTGTCATGATTGCAATGAGGTATCCACGTCCGTAGATAGCTCGAAATTAGTTCAAAATGTTCGTCAACTTCTACTGCATCTAATGTGGATGCACATAAATCCACATATTTAACAAAGTCGAGTTATAGGTTCTTCCGAAAACCCTGGGCTTTGAGGTATTTTCCATTTTGCTCAGCCGAGAAACACTTTTGTTGAAAATTAATGTGATATTTGGAGTCAACATAAAAAACTGCACCGAATGATGTATAATTTATTAATTTTACAAATAAAATATTTTTTGACAAGAAGTCAGGGCAAGGGTCTCCCTAAGGAATTTTTTATCCAAAAAAGATTTCGACTCTTTTTAGTTTTATTAATATCTGACACATAATAAGACCATACTACGCGAAAATAATCATTTTTTAACTCAAAAAAAAAACCAGATGTCCGCCTGCGCTATGGAAAAATGCCCTCTGTGGTATATCGATATTTGTTACTCTACTACAAGTTAAATTGATATTTGTGAGTCTTTCATTCGTGAACTAGTCCTTTATTTTTAGAAAATGCTGGTATTCTTTACAGGAAAGAACTAAAAATCGGGACATTTTTCTATGGGCAAATCGCATATAATTATCGTACCGGACATTCGAATTCCATTTTTAAGCAACTCTATTTCTACTGACCTTTTTTTCTCAGCTAGCACAGTAGAAGCTAATTTTCAATCACACTAGCCAGAGATCAATCTGGTAACAAATCGAGCCGACATTACATATCATCTGTCTTTTTACGTTTAGACGAAATAACGATGGTTACAAAATTTGAAATGAATTGTATTATGAATTATTTGAATATTTGACATGCTTTGAAATATATACAATATTTAATAACCTCAATAGTCGGTACAGTAGTTTAATTCGTAGTTATCATATGAAAATGTATGTGAATTTAACAAAAATATCAAAAACACAGTTTGATTATTATTGTTCGCAAATAATTGGAAATGTGTGTTTCCAGTTAAAAGTCTTAATATTAACAAATAGAGTAACTGTTAAACAAATATCTTTGTTCAGTGAACTATTTGATATTAGTAAACAGTTTGTTAATCTATCAACATTATCATTATATGATATAACACCCATTGAATTAATCGATTTAATACCAAAAATATTAAAATTAAAATTCTTAACAAATTTATTCATTTTCCTAGAGACATATCCGCTGAGCAGCAGTCTGAAATATATATGGGACAAAATAATGAATAATGATAATGGCAATCAATTAATGTCTTTAAAAGATTTCGTTTTCAAAACACATTTATATGTACCACAAGCAATTAAAACAACAACAAGAAAATGGTATTCCATTAGGTAGGTGAAGAGACACGCAATTTCATTTAGATGAATAAGTTCTTAGCCCCTAAAACGGACTTTTGTGCGAAAATAGAAAGTACCTAAAATTCTATTTATGTATGGAAAAGAATCGGTGGCCTTCAAATATCAACGTTCTTTTTTTCTGCCCAGGTCAACGAAAAGTAGAGGTGGAACAGTGAAGAAAAGAGATTTAAGTAAGAAATATAGCACTGCGACAAAATGCATGTTCAAGTTTTCACTTAAAACACTACTCGAGCTTTCGACCTTTATTCACGGGTCATCATCAGGAGTAAATGACAAAAAGAAAAGAAAAACCGTACATCTTTTCGGCGGGGCGGACCCCGCGGGGGAGAAAAAAACCGTGCTGCGTGCATCTCTGATCGTCATCGTCAACAGTGCAGTGTAGAATTAGTGCTTGATCTTTGTGATCATACAATTCTACTGAGATTCAAACCACCTGATGATTCCCTTACCTGGAATGAAATCGCAATAGTGGTAGCTTTATCTCACCTTCAGTTAGTGTCTCATTCAAAAGGAAAGAAGAAATGGAGTTGGTAGGCTGTTCATTAATCTTTATTACTTTTTCAAATGGTAACATAGTGATGCGACACAAATCATTGTTGGCTTCGGCAGAGAGAGTAAAAATAAACAGCAAAAAGGGACAAATACATCAACCTTGATTGGCAACATACGCAAGTCATCATGGATAGAAAATATGATTACACTTTGCAATCATTCTCTTGCAAGAAGAAGACAAGCAAGTACTCAGTAAAAGCATTGCAATGCCTGACTTTGAATGCCACTACAGGGATCTACCCCATCTACAAAAATGACCGCTCCTGAAAAAAAGAACGAAAGAAAGAAATAATCGGTTTTACAGAAAAAAACATAACACGGTCAATGCTTATTACAATTTTTGATCGAACATACACGATGCGGCTGTTAACAGTTTTGTCTTTGGTTGCTTTCTCAGTGTCTGTCAAAGGTTTGTGGATTCTTTCCGTCTTCTTGCACTCTATTATCGAAATGAATCGTTGATAGGTCAAATAACAGACTCACCTAGTTACTTTTGTTTGAACAATAACGTTACTATCAAATTCAGGCTCTCCTCTTCGTCTCATTCTGCATGGCAACCGTCATCCAACTGTTACCTATCGTTGTGCAGTCAGAACTCGAGTAACAATAACAGCAGTTGTCGCTCATCATTGACGCCTTGCTTCGACTATCGCACGACCAACAATACGAGTTACTGTGCGCCTGGTAGTTTATGCTCTCTTCTGGAGCCGTGCAACAATATCACGAAAGGATGTTCATCGAACACGTCTGTGTGTATTGTGAATTCATGTTGCACACTGCAAGCAGTATGTTTGCCAGTATTGTTTGATAGTAGCATTGAGATATTTATAAAATTCTTGAGGATTTTCAAATTTATAGAAAATCCTCACCGATTTTCCAACTGTATAGAAAATGTTGATTTGCAAGATTCTTGAAAATCGAGTCGATTTTCTATAAATTTGATTTCCTAGAATCTTTTTTTTTAAAAAGTTTTTTGAAAATCAATTGATTTTCTATAAATAATTTCCACGATTCATCTTGAATCACCGTTCTGTTTTACATTCTTGGGTAAATATAAGTACAAATATTTTCACACTTAGAATAACTTCGAATTTTTTTCCTTCTTGACCACAGTTCATCGTGGAAATTATTTATAGAAAATCAATGTCGATTTTCAAGAATCTAGAAGATCCCCTTGATTTTCTAGATTCTTGGGGATTCGATTTTCTGTAAAATAGAAAATCCTAGGCGATTTCATATATGGACTTTCTCAAAACCAACGGCGATTTTCTATAAATAATTTTCGAGATTACAGTGTACTCCAAGGTAGGACAAAGACAAGGAAAAAAATGATATGTGTTTTCGGGTACTTGTCGGGTATGGGTAAAAAGAAATTTTCGGGTCGGATGCGGGTCTGAAAATTGCACCCGTGTAAATTTGTAAACCAGAAGATAGAAAAGACTGAGTGACCAGAATTTTTTCCTGGTTACGCTACTAATTCCTTGCACATATGTTAGTTCTCATTCTTTGTTACTTGTACCTGAACAGTTTTCTTCGTGTATTTTCAATTTTTAGATATCGATTATGGATGACGAAATCATACAAGCACTAATATTGGCTGAACAACAACAACGAAAACGATTAGACAGCTGGAATGAATCACGACGAAACGAACGAAATCAAGATACCGACCAGCTTCTTCGGGAATTTCAACACATGTCAAAAACGCAAGCAAATCAAGAAGCATCTACATATTTATTATCTATAGTTCAAACAGCACCAACACGTGAAGAAAACAATAATAGTTCTGACGAAGAACCTGATTTAATTTATTACGAAAATGATCCATCCAATAGTGATGTTGATCAACTGATTCTTGATGATTACGATGGACAAATAAATGATTATGAATCAGATAATTATGATTTCAGTATTAGCGACTTTGTTCAACCGGCACAGCTATCATTATCTCTATCAATTATTGAGAACAACGATATTCAAAATGAAACTTATCTTCATTATTATACCAGTATTTCAACAGAAAAATATTGTCAGGAGTTAGCATCTATTCTCCGGTCTGTTGATATTAATAAAACACAATCAACACGTCTATTATCATTATTTAAATCAGCCTTGCCTGTACCCAATAACTTACCATCGACTTGGGAAGGATTATTAGCCGCTATGAACGTTGATAATTTATTTAAAACTCGTCGTATTTGTTTATTATGCCAGCGAGATTTACATTATAAAGACAAAAAATGTTCAAAATGTCGCTCAGTGGATGAAAAAACAATAGCTGTACAAAGTATACAGTAAAAGGTATGTATGTAATAAAAGTATATTTGATGTTATAAAAGGTACAAAAGCAAAGCCCTATAGGGAAGCAGTGATGCAGTCTATGTGAATTGAACTAAATTGCCAGATCTACCCTGCTAAATCGCCATTCCATTATAATCGTACAGAATGATGCAATAAAACAATGATCAAGTATTCATTTTATATTTGATAAGTACAATTTCGAATAGATGCCACCTAGTCTCATTAGTTCAGAGTGTTTGCCGCTTTCGATAATTCGTCCGTTTTGAATCACACAAATTAAATTAGCATCTTTTATCGTTGAGAGTCTATGTGCTATGATAATTGATGTACGGTTTTCTTGAGCTCGTTCGAGAGCTTGTTGTATAATCTATTAATAACATCAAGAAAAAAATTGGAATCGTGAAACAACAGTATGGTAGCTGCAAGATTTGTTGAGTGCACTGATCCGTAAAAGATTTTAATATTTTCATCGCCTGTGATTCTGTAGGATTAAGGGATCTCTTGGAGGAAGAAAAAAGGATATTCGCATGTTTGCTGTGGCTTTCTTGTGCTCCGCAAGTACTTTTACTGCTACTCAAGGTTATATAGAAAAACTTAAATCTCTTAGAAACCCGAGTTTCCCTATATATCGAATGATTTTAGTAAAATTCTATCCTAATAGATCGTTTTTGACCAGAGGATGTCACAACCCCATGCGATTACTGGATAGAAAATGAGAAGCAACACCAAAAATGCAAATCTCCCTTAACTAACACTCTTTTTTAAGGCTGCCCTTTCCTACAAACCTACATTCTCCCCCCTCCCCTAATAGAAGACCACCTGGTCTTCTATTTTGTCCGGTAAGTCGAGTTCTAAAGGGTGGTCTTCTACTGCGGTCAAATTTTGTCACCTGCTAGTAGTCGAACGGGTTCTCCCACGTACTTGAAGTTCATCCCCTATTAAAAGTACATTTTGGCGAAATTTTTTTGAAAATTATCCTATATGTATACGGCATTTTCCGATTTTTTTGGAGAACCTAATAGAAGACCATGGTCTTCTATTTGGTTTTCAAGTCATATAATCGGTAGTGGTCTTCTATTATGGGGGAGGGGGGGTATAAAGTGTCTTCAAAACAGCTAAATTAAGAAGATTTTCTAAAAAACTCCACGAAGACGGCATAAAAGCAACTTTTTATATTTCGATTTTATCGTTAAAGCCGATTTGACGCTCTTCTTTGAATAATGCTTTAGTCAAAAAGACTGTTTCACCCTACATCGAAAAGTAATGGGTATTACTACAAATGTTGAAGAATATCGGGAGTAGGAATTTTGGGGAAAATCTTTGTGACTCGCCTATATTCAGCATACTGAATGTCGTCACCCTACTTTCAACATGGATTCGATTGTGATCATAAAAGAACAAGGTATGGTAGGCGCCCTCTCTAAATTACTATTTTCTTTTCACAAACCATTTCGTTTTCAGTATCTAAGGCACTCGTCGGTTCGTCCATGAGTAGGATCTTTGGATTGTGAATTAAAGCACGAGTAATTGCTACCCGTTGTTTTTGACCACCAGAAACCTGCGATCCATTTCGACCCACATTTGTATCGTAGCCCTACCAAAATCGTGGAAAAGAAACCGAAGAATCCTCTCTTGTTTTGTTTGATTGTAGCTTACCAGCGGTAAGGTTTGAATGAAAACGTGAATATTCGCCTTTGTTGCCGCCTCTACAACTTCATTGATTGGGACTTCGCGCAAATGATCACCGTAAGCAATATTTTCTCTGATCGTCAAATCAAACAAAATCGGTTCTTGACCGATAAGACCAATTTGGGAGCGATGCCATTGCAGATTCAAATCGAGAACATCACAACCATCAAAAAGCTAAAATCATAGGATTATAAGAAATTAAGTTTTTGCTTCCTGTATTTTCGCGGGTATGAACTCTTGTGCGATTTTTCAAAACTTAGACTTCTATTCACGGAGATTGACTAAGCGTACCTTTTTCTAGTTTTAGCTAAGGTTTTTCAGAGACTCTTCATTTTTTATTCTACAACTGTCTGAATCTCCCACCCTAAAATTTTGTCCGATCGCATGCTATTACATTTCATGTTATGTCATGAAAGATAAGATCATCAATATTCAGAATAGTGACTGCTCTTTTCTTTTCTGTTTTACCTGACGTCACTAGGCTTTTCTATCTCTTTCTCATGTGCTCAATTTTATACAAATAGCTATATTTTATAGATTATTTGTGGATTATTTGTCCGCTGATAAACAAAGTAGGTACCGTGAAAAGTATTCAAGTTAGAATTAGAATGTAACACTTGGGTGCTTTTCAATTTAGGCTTTTAGAGTTAATCCTCTGCCCAGAAGCGGAAAATTTGTATGTCCAGTATGTGTGATTATGGCGATTATGGCATTGCCCGATTCTATACAACTTGTAGAACCGGACAACCTTTATCTATACCACCTATCGGTGATAATTGAACAGTTTTAACTTGCACCTAATGAGAAAATATTTCGGATATATATGACGTTATACAGAGACGGCAGATACACAGATGAACCATCGTTTCCCAGTCGAATTTATAGCAGAAGTTTATTTTTCGCTACCTATTTTGTTAAAACTATTCCACTACTTGTATTTTCTTGTATAGCTGCTTATATAAGCAGGGGTTAGTCTAAGAAGTACGATTTTGCTTTTTGTTTAATTGTTTAATAAGAATCCAATTCAACCTGTTAAGATTTCTTTTCTTCCACCTTCATTCGCTAAGCAATTCCTGTTGGATGTTTCCGTAGAGCCCCTGCCATGATATACACAACTTTGTTCGCATAAGCTGAAACTCTTTTTAAATGAAAGATCCATGAGTAGGGTTAGCATAAATTGAGTTAAAAAATTTTGGAAATATCGTCATCATAGAACGGCATTTTGAGGAGTATTTCAAAACAACCAATTTGGGCCTTTTTTGTGATAGATAGATCTTCAGCAAAGCAAAATGGAAAATCACTTTCAAATAGTGCATTCGACTCGTCTTTCCATTATCTATCGAAAAATGAAACAAAAACTTTCATAGCTTTTAAGCTGAAATCGAGAAATTCGAGATACAGGTGAAAATTTTTGAGTTTTTTCCTGTTTTATGCTTGTTTTTTTCTATAATCTCGAATTTTCGAGGTCGATTTCATATATTTTCCGTACCCATAAGACATGGGCTAACTTAATGCCTTGTAACTATAAACCTCGTAAAATTTGATTTTTCCAGATTTTAATGATTGTTTCATCTTTCTTAAAATAATATGATACGAGTTTAGGATTACAATCCCAAGGTAAATTTGCATACTGAATTCGATGCACATGTCGAAAGTATTCAAAATAATTTGTTTTAATAAAGGAAAAATTATGTTTTAATTGGGTTTGGGCGGCTAAGGAGATGTTTCAAGCTATACCACTTGAAGCACATTTTTGAAGATCTTTCCTAGGCTTTATC